AGGCAGGCACACCAGTCATACTAGCCCCTGTCCAGCCAGTAGCAACCACAACCAATACTCATTCTCCTACTTTGCAAACTGCACATCTTTTCTTTAGCAGGCTTCCACCTGCAGCAGAAGCTCCCGGACTACACGAAAGATGGGCTAAAATACTATCACTCAGCAGTCTTAATTTCCACTCTGCCAGAAAACTATGAGACACGCAAGCCATCTGCTACCTCCAGGGCTGAGTGGTATCAAGAGTGCCGACAAGCATCTTATCTTTGACACCACTACTTGGAGAAACCTTTAAGAGACAGCAGAAGTGCTACTACATGTCATCTGAAAGCTACTGCCAAAACACTCTTCCAGGACAGATTTTTATTTCATAGAAACTGATGACCTTGCCCTCCATATATTTCCAGAGAGCCTAAACTGTGCTCGAGACTAGCATTTTGTATTTTCTGAGTGTGCTTCAAAACACAAGCTCGTTTATATCATTTCCTCTGCTTTAATGCATTTCAACTGCAGCAGTGCTCCCAGTGAGCTTCAGTTGTTTTCTGTACACCACTGCTCAACACCTGCCCTTGCAACAGAAACACAAGCTAAAGCTAGAACCATTTAAGTATTATTTCTACTGTGTTATTTCTACTGTGTCTACAGAGAAGATAGGCATATGCAAACATCAGACATGTACAACAGAGTATTAGAAAATTTGCCTGGTTAGCTACCTTGCTACAATTAACTGCCACACGTTAAATGTCACTGCAAATACCCACAACACCTACAAACAAAAATTAATTACAGCATCTCTGTAAAGCAGCACCTCAGCTCTAAACTCTCAAGGCTTTCTACAACTACACACCTGCAAGCCAGAAACTGTCCTTCCATGTCTTTCACTAGTAACTGGCATCCAAAAAGTTATTAGTGCCTTTTCCTCTACAAGATTACCTGGGACTAGTCTCCTTGATTGCCAAATCTAAATACGTTAATACAAAACTAGCCTAGCTTTGTATGCAACTTTTTGGAGAACTCAAGTGTTACTTTAGTTCTGCACATTTTTTCTTTAGTCACCTATAGTGTACATACACTCAAACTCCCATAGGTTTGTTCTTATCCCTCTGCCCACTGAAGTTATGCATTAATTAGCAGTTCAGGTCACTTCTGGCCATAGTAGGGAAGCTGACTGGAACACTCACTTTTGACATCATCAGGACACGTACACTGCCTGTCGGGTGCTGATCCAGGCTTTCCAGCCAGCCACTGTAAGTGACACCAGTACCAGAAAGCCCAGTACCATGAAGGAGAAGGATCCTCTTCACCAGTGAAACAGCAGCCTTTAGTATAGGGGAGGCAGAAAGGGCAAGAAAAACAATGAGACAGACCTGCCCTTTATCACCCACCCACTCCACCAGTGAAAGACTTTAATACGAAGGAGGAAGAAGGTGTAAGAAAAACAAAGACACACCTGCCTCTTCTTTCACCCACCGGCACAGCTGCCAACAATCCTCAAAAGTACCTACTGAGACACACTCATCCCCTCCCCTGCAGGCCAGACAGGCAGAGGGGGTCTAGACCAAGAACTTCCCAGGACCACCATAAGGGCGAAAGGAAGTAATCAGACCCAAGAGCATGGTGCTGGAAGGCACCTGAACTGCAGGCAGACACTAATCAGTAACAGGCCAATCACTATCGTTATTTTTCATTACAGTTGGAGATGATTAAGAATGACAGGAAATGGTTAGATTAAAAAATTACATTCAAGTTTTCCTCACATCATAGCTTCCTCATCCCAAGTCATATCCGTATACTCTGAACTTTTCTTTGACACACTGACACACCATTGATGCTCTTTCCAGTGCTCTCATTCACACTCAGTACCTGCAATGGCTTGCCAGCTTTATCAACTCACTAGTTAAGTTTCAGAGCATTTGGTCTGTGAATGGGAAGAGCCTTCAAAAACAGGAAAGGTAAAGCAGAGATCATTCCAAGATATACTTCCCACTATGTGCTACTCTGAAATAATTGTGGAGCAAGGGTCTACTACTAGCCTTACTACAAACAAAAGGAACCAGTATGGGCAACCTAGTGCCAGTATATAAAATGTACAAGCTTCTCACATGTGTTTTAGTGTGCCATATTTTCATGTGCAGCAAAATCTTCCAGAATTCAGGAAGCAGCTCATTTTCCTTTCCCCTTCAACATCTGATCTTTAGTGACCACATACAACTCCAGTGATTATCTAGTTTTTAAGCAGTTTCTCAACTAGCAGTGGCCATCAGAATCACCAGTTTAGATTAGACACACATCAAAGTGTAAGATACACAAGAACTATTAAGTTGTCTAACCAACCCGTCTACATTTTCAGGGACACGCAAGAAACACACAGCCTTAAACAGTCTTAGCTGAAAGCAGCAAGTAGATGCACCTAAAAAAGGCCTCAAGACTATCCTGTCTCACTCCTTTCACACCAGAAGACACTGATGACAAGGAGAGCTGCAACTTCATAAGAAAGAAAGTAAGAGTAGTACAGTCATTGTGCACTTTCAAATTTTTCTAATGAACAACAATATTAATGGATTTTCTCGGCTTTTCTAATCAGTCAGAATGGAACTGTTCTGGTGTTCTGAAACTGAAGCTGTGGCTGTAACTCAAAAGTAAAACTGTATTCCCATTCCCTTAAAAAAACAAAGCATTTTATTTCTTCATGTATGTCTTGAGAATTATGATCACATTTTCCCATTTCCAGCACTAAGCTTGCAAGAACATAATTAATAATACTGATAAAGCGCAGTATCTTTTTTTTTTCCTTTTTTTATAAAAGCTTTTATGCTTCTGAAACATTTTTTTTTTATGGTGCCCTTTGAGAACTCTAAGATTAATTTATTTAAGAAAAGTCTTTTCCTTTAAATCCCTATTTATTATTCTATTTTTCCAGAAGCAAGGTTATTATAGTCTCTTCCCATACCTTTATTTTGGAGAGCTGGTCTTCTAGAAGGACAGACGCACTGACAAAAAACCAAGCACATTGTAAGTTTCAGTGCTCATTCAAAGCCCAAGTTTTATCTCACATCCATGTTCCTGCTTCAACATTATTTAAAGAGAAAACACTGCAAGTCATGAAGCTTGCTTCACGATGACACGCTGTTTCAGAGTTACGAAAAACATTGTGCAATTTGTTTTCTGCAGTAAAAAAACCTGGCCTCATGTTTCTTGTACCCTCCCTCCCCCGAGTTCAGTTTTATCTCTTTTAAAAGCAGAGGTCATTCTGGTGATCCTTTTAACAAAGAGGTCCACAAAACACTTCTTGGAGACCAAAAGTACCATGGAGCAGAGGTAGAAACTCTTTTTCCAGATATGTTTATGGGTTTTATTGGCAACAGACTGCAGCTGTTTACATTTAACTATGCCCTCAAACAATGCTTCTCATCATCTGAGTCATTTCTGACTTGGGAAGACCTATATCCCAGGAGTGGAACTTAACTGCAAAGAATTCAAATTCATGAATAATTTGGTACAACTTCTACCATGATGCAGCAGCCTTAATGACAGGTTTAGGGTTTTCTGTTTGTTTTTTTTTTTTTTTTCTTCCTCCTTTCAGCCTGAGAAGGACACTGAAATAGTCATGGGATCAAGAAAGGAAACAACTATTTGCTATCAGCTAATCTTAATCATACTGAAATTTTCATGGGTTTACTCCAGGAACAGACAAGCTAAACAATGTGCTTGCACTGTACAGTCTTGCACTTCAAAAATCATTGTTCTTCCTTCCATTCTCAGCATACTGATGGTTTAGGACAGCAGTGCTGAAGCAATCAGTGCAGGTCTCTAGATACTCACAACAAGGACTTACTGGCAAACAGTTGCCCATAAAAGCCTCAGGGTGTAACTGAAGCTCATAGCTAACACCCAGTCAACAAAACGCATCTATGTCCACTGGCAGCTACTGGGAATACTTCCAAGCCGCTGCCTTTGACAGTGTTTTGGGACTCACTATCTAGCTAATAAACAAAGGGAAGCCCGAAGTTCCCTTCAAACAAAGTGAAGCAGGATAGGAACTTTCAGCTAGTGCATGCTGGAAAAGAAGAAACTGTCTCACTCACAGGCCCCGGAATTCACAGTCACAAAGATATGTTTTTTACCGTATGGCCTTAGCTTGAGGAATATGCAGTCTGTCAGAACAATCTCACTCTTTTTTGCACCTCTTCGAGTTACCCATCAGAGCAACAGAACACACTTGGTCCTTCTCCATCATCTACAAACTCAGTAGAAGAGATCAGTGTCTCAATTTCTGCCTGATAAAAAGACTTGAAGAGGAAAAAAAACAAACCACAAACACACACAACTACAGAACCACAGAATAAATGTTAATTAAATAGATCTGGATTATACTTCACTAGAAACATGCAGATTCAAGTTTAACTTTTTGTATATTCAGCTTTAAAAGCTGTCTAGCAAATGGCAACCTCCCTGTTTCTGCTTTAGTATTTGTCCTACAAATGAGTTTGCTTCAGGATTAATAGATCGATAACAATGACAGAATTTTATTTTTCATGTTCAACATCAATACATTCCAATTTCAGAGTTTTTAAGAGCACAGAATTTACAGAGCAAGAAGCTGGCTGACAAAAAGGTGGAGATGTAAACCATAGTTAAGTCTAAATATCCCGGTGAAAATAGTGAAGTGCCCTCTTATCATCACTTCCACTATTTCTGGGGGAAAGGTGAGAGGATGTGGGTTTCTAGCGGCCCGAGCGAGCTCAGACGCAACCACCAGTCAGCCAGCCCGTGCACTTAACGGGGAGATGACCGCCCCAGCTCTGCGCTACCAACGCCCGGTCACAGCGAGATACGGGAGATCAGCACTGATGCCTTCTGCACAGATTCTCACCGCATTTCCTACGCTGTCCCCAGATGCGCCCATCTCCAAAGAAATCACTCTCCAGCACATTTAAGGCTAGTTAACACAATGGAAACGCACCCGTGAAGAGAGATTCATTTTATTGTCAAGACAGCGCTAAAATAAAAATCGAATCAGGTCTGTAAGGCCCCCGCAACGAGGGCAATTAGGAGCCGTCTACAGCCCATCTGTCTACACCCCGGCACCGCTGCCACCCCGGAGCAAAGCGGAGCGGTCACCAGGGGCCCGTCGGGGGGCAGCCCCTTCCTCTCCCGTCCCCTCCGCGCCGCCGCAGGGCATTAGTTCGGGCTGGCCCCAGCGCCGCGGCGCGCTCCGTGCCGCCCGGCGTAACCCGACCCACTCCCGGCCGGGAAACGGGGACGGAATCGTCGCGATGCCGCTACCCGCCGGCCAGACTGCTGGAGCTGGTTAGCACCTTCCCCTGGCATCAGGGACATGGCCGCAGCCCAGCCTCCTCGGCGGGAGGGCAGGTGAGGGGATGAGTACCCAGGTGAGAAGCGCAGCAGACCAGGGAAAGAAGTAGGGGGGCCAGAGGGGCACAGGGCAACCGTACTCACCGCGCGGGCCCCACCACGGAACCGCGTCCCCACTTCCTGTGCGCTAGGAAATGAGCAGGCGGGGCGTCTCCGCCGCGGCCCTTAAAGGGGACGGCACCGGCCGCCCCTCACCGCCTCGGGGGTGGGACCGGGCGTCTGGAGCGGGCGAGATGCTTAGCAGCCCACTTCTTCCCCACACTCCCCCCACGTGGCGGCGACGGTAGCCCCCGGAGGGGCCCAGCGGGGTCCGCGGCCTCCTGCCCGCCCAACGCCCCGGGGTGCCCTGCTTCGCACGCCGGCTGAGACACATGCCGGCTGAGACACATACCGGCTAACACACGCACTGCTAACACAGGCTGAGGGCTCTGGTGTGCCCTGGGGAGGAGAGATGTACGTGTCTGAGCGCTGACGTTGGGGATGTAATAGATACACCCCTGTGAGACTGGTAGCGACTGCTAGTGAGCAACGCGCGGAGCTACCGGGGAGCGCTCCTCAGGCCGGTTTACTCATCGACCGTCGGCCAGGCGTAACGCACACAGACCGCGGCAGATCTCGGACTCGGGGGCAGAAGGGCACATCTGGCCTTCAGGCTTATGGGCCTGCACCGAGCCTCCCTGGCGCCGGCCCACAGCGTACTCAGCATCCCGGTCATGGCAACTGCCGCTGCAGGGAAGCAGCCGCGCTGCTGAGTAGGGCCGCGCTTGCTCTGCGCTGCTTTGGCCCAGCAGCCTGTCTCGTACAGTTGTTCTCCCAGGACAGGTGCTCCTCTGCGGCCACAGCCATGGCACCGTGTGAGTACGGATGGCAGACATTAGTGTGCCAGCCGTGGAGGTCAACGGGGAGCGGAGGTCCAGCAGCAGCACAGCGATGTTGGTTTTACAAAAGGTAACAAAACCGTAGAGCTGTGAGGTAGCCTTTATGCTGGAGGTGCAGGGGCTACAACAAGCAGAATTTACTAATAATTATTTTCTACTTACCCAAATATTTACAGTTCAGTGTTTCCAGGACAACAACATATTTTTTTAAATTATTTTTCTCCAGGGCTTAACTTGAAGCCAGGCTTAGGATCTTCTGCACTTTTGAGCAGTCTGCATGAAGGGTGGCCTATACCAGCTTAAAAGGGTAAGGCCAGGAACAGCGGAAACGGATGAGGTAGTAGTGTTTTTTCACAACTATATATCAAATGATTCTGGCCCTGCTCATTAAAACCAGAGTCATACGAATTCAAAAGCAAGAAAAAGCTTATTCCTGTAAAGACCTGCATGTCCTACTTGACATAATGCTGCTGGTCTGCCTGGGGCTGCTTACCTACCTGAAAGGTAGGCACTAAGTGCTTTCCAGAATGGAGCCTTCGATGGTGTTGGCAGCAGAGGCTGTCTCTGTCACATTGCTGCTCTGTCGAGGTTTTCACCCCATTTAGTACAGAGCAGCCCTTTGTCTTCAGGCAGACGGAAACCCATCTGTTCATAAATAGCTACACCACAGCCTGCGAGGGGGATGGGTGGCCAAGGACCTGGTCTGTTCAGTCTGGATTTTAAGCCCTCAGACAATAAAGGTCTTTCCAGGCAATACCTTAAATAAACGGTGATTTCAAATAGTTGGGTGTTCCACATAGACTGGAAACTCTCTTCACTGTCAGGCTCTACTTCACTGCTCTGGTCCAGGGAAAGCACGTGTAACTGGTGTGACCAGCTGTCCATGTGAGCACTTTTCCTATCCTTTGAAGCTTGTCATGACACTGGATCATTAACATTAAGTACCCATCAAAATATATTTGAAGAAGCTCATGGAGAAGGGAGTTATCAGAAGGTTTTAGATTTTTATGTATATGCTCCTGAAACTAGGTAAACGTGGGTTCATTCTTTTTTATAAAACAGTATGTAAATATATTACTGTTTTAAACCTGACCTCATGCAAAGTTTCAGTGTTGCAAATAGTACCCATTGACTGTTGAGTACACCTCAGCTCCTGCTTGTCTTCTGTGTTGTGGTAAATGGGTAGGAGTTTATTAGACACCAGTGTTACTTTACTGATACTGGAGACTTCAGTGTTCTGTAGACATAATACTATCTGGAAGATTACAGAATGGAAATAACTGAAATTACTCATATAATTAACAATGTAGTTCTCAAACAAGCTCCGACAACCCTGCACCCCCTGCTGTTTGGTCTACAGAGAGCAGCTCTACTCTAAAGCTTTCCAGGTACTGCTTTTCTCCATAAAAGCTAGTTGCCACTATGCAGGGAGATGTCTACAGTACCTTACAGGATAGAAAATACAGTACACAAAATACTTTTTTTCTTAAGTGCCAGTTTTTCCTTTATTTACCAGAGTTCCTTAATTTTTATTTTATATATTCCCCCCCCACCTCCACCCCCCCCCCCCCCACCACCATTTTGAGAGAAGGAAAGAATAGGTTTCTTAAACTCTACATCTTGGGTACTCACAGTTATCACTGTGTGAGAGGTTTACCTCACAACAGGAAAAACAATGTTTTTGCAGTGATGTTATGTATAACTTCCTGACTTTTCTATCAGTATGAGCTATTCCAAGATTAGACATTCCTTCATAACTCAGACCTATATTTATGCTGACACGTGTTGTAGTTCCTATTTGGTGTTTGTCCTGCAGGCCTACAGAGGAATTCCCAGGTTTTTTGTGAATAAAGTCGGCAGACTTCCTAGCATCTGAAAGCAGTAAGTGTGTGTGTGTGTGTATATATATATACATATATATATATATAGGTGACACAGCTCTGAATTTTGTTAAAATATTATGATAGGATGATTATTTTAGAGACAAAGGCAGACTTTTAAAATATTTTGCTAAACTTTGTTAACCGCTGTTCTTAAATTGGTACAGTTAAGGGAAAGGAAGTGGCTGGCAATAGGTTATTTGAAAAAAAGAAAAATTTTCCAGAACAGCATTACCTCCAGCCTCTAGTGGGTTTTGGTTTCTTTTTTTTTTTTTTTTTTTTAAAGCATATGTGTGGGCTGGAGGGGAAGAAGCAATAGAAAAAAAGAGAGGACCTGATCTGAGAGCATGATGACTAAGTGAAGGAGTAATGTAAATGAGACCAAAGCAGGAAAGAAAAAGCAATACTTCAACAGTGGATATCTTTCTTCTCTTATCCTCTCAAGCTGAAATAAAATATGTATGTGTAGTAAAAAAAAATGGTTTGTTACTTTGCTTAAAAATTCAGAGCTTTAATTGCCAAACAATAGTCATTAGTTTGCCTTTACACAGGGCTTTTTGTCAAATACCACAGCTCAGCCTTGCTGATGGCACAATTCCAAGGCAAACCCCTGTGAAGTTGCTTTCTTTATCCTTATTTTAGTTGTTGCAAATTATTTATAACAGATATTGAACAGTGCAACCAAAAGTATAAAGAATTTTTAATAGCCTGAAATAAACCACACTGTAGTATTTTAATCATCTTGATTTATATTTTCTTCCCATAAAGTCCTCATTTCAAGATTTTACTCTAAATTATATTCTAACTTGTCTCTGGTCCTGTTTAAATACATATTGTTGCTATGGGCTATGAAATAAGGGGTCATAGGAGGGGTGGTGCACTATAGGAGAATTAGCTTAAGTCTTGCTTGGGGAATGCTAACCTTGACCTCAGGCTCTGCTGATGATGCCATAGTGTGAGCATCAACCAGGTCACTGATATGTACCTTCCAAAGTAAAAAGGAAACTATTACTGTTTTATCATTATCATAGAGCATCTACAATGAGTATTAAAGGTGCTTGGAAAGTCTAGATATTTTACTGATTTAGAGGCTGAAATAATTTCTTGACTTAGGATAGGTTTAGGAGACAGTGCATATGTAAACTTACTTTGCATCAACACACCACAGCAACTCTACCATGCAGTAACCTTCCTGTATTTATTATTACTGTTCCTATATTTATGTTAAACTGTTAAGTGTTTATTTTGCACTGTAGAAACATTTAGATTTTGGCAATGCTTAGACTTGGCCTCTATGCCTTTGAATGTTGAAGGACTATATTTACATTGTGGTTTGGTATCAGATAAATACTTATTTTTTGGTATTATAATGTACTAAATTGTGGACCCAGAAGCATATAATTTATATAATGTTTGGGAAATGAACTGATACAGATTGTTTTTTCCTGCTGTTTTGGGATCACAGTTGCTAAATTACTTCCTTTCAGAAATTCCCATTAGAAAACAATCTGTCCAGACTATATCAACCACAGTATTAACTGACTTCAAATCTGTAGAGTCCTTCCATACATTAAAGCCTTATCAGAAAAGATAATCAATACAATCACAGCTGTGAGTGTAAATACAATTCAATTTTATTTACTATCTGGGAAAGGGTAACAAAAATGCATAGTATAGTCCACCTATTTTTTCTTTGAATAGCGATAATTTAGTTTAAATTTCTCAATGGTACTGGCATCTGGAAAAGTGTATGGAAGGATACATCTGAATTGTTTGGATACAATGTCTTAAAAAACTTTTTCTTTTTGCAATCAGTATGTAGTCACTGTTAGCAACAGTTGTTGGCTGAGCTCTTTCATCGTAGTAAATGGATCCGAGAAATATTACTGTACCAGAAGTATGTGTATCACTTTGGTTTGTGCAGCAGAGGAACAGGATTATAGAAGGAGAATTGCAGGGAGCTGCAGGAAATACTCTGCAGCAGTAGCTCATCATCTTTCCTGGCCACATGGCCTTATTTTTGCTGGCAGGCGCAATGGGTTATATGCCCAAGTCTTCACTGCTCACTTTCAACTCTACCAGGGTATCATACCAGACTAACCAGTAACAACACATATGGAAAGTAATTCACATATGTAGTGCTAGAATTCTATATTGGTTTATTTCTGACTATTCCAAGACACCTTTAGTATACAGCTGTGTAATGACACCAAGAACTGCTCTAGGTATTTTCCTAAAAAGAGAAGACAATTTTGTCACAAATATATTGGCTATAAAGCAGCTCTGAAACAAAGTCTAAGCAGCCATATTCTGTACCTAGAATGGAAAACAAATCAGGAGGACTGACTAGAGAACTCAATATTATGCAAAACACCAAAAATGACACATTCCTTTTTTCTTTTTTTTTTTTTTTAACTTCTCTGGTATTGTAGAACAGCAAGATGTTAAAGCCATAAAGTAATACTTTTAAAATCAATCCTATTAAAATGCATTTTCAACTGTAGCTTTCACTGTCAAGGATGCAGAAAAAGAAATGTTAGGTCATTCCATACATGAGATTTAGGACAGACAATCTCTCATGAGCACTCCTAGTCTGAGAAGATAATGGTATAAATTATCAAGGTTTTTTAGTTGTTTATGTGGTTGGATTTCTTTTTGTTCTTGAAAACCTCGTGCACCAAAGCTTGAATTATTCAGATAAACATCTACATTAAATGCAATATCTTTATAGAAGGAAGCACTTTGACTTCATTAACCTGAGATGCTTCATGTTTTATACAAAATATTTGGTATGTCAGCATTTAATAACCTTACTACATAACCTGTTGTACCCACTGAGCTTGTCCAGTAGTAAAAAAAACCCACCACCACCTTCCACACAAAAATAAAGACAAAGCTGTAGGGCCATACAGAACAGTGATGATCATACATGCTAACAGATTAACAAACAATTAATACAAGGCCAGTGTTACCAGCATCAGGTACAGCCTTGTCTGTCACTGTTTGAAAAACCATCTCCCTCTAAGCCCTTGGGACCTTGACATGCTTGTAAGGTGGGCTGATGCCAACCTTATGAAGTTTAACCATGCCAAGTGCAAGGTCCTACACCTGGGTCGGAGCGATCCCTGCAGAGAAGGACTTGGGGGTATTGGTCAATGAGAAAATGAACATGAGTCAGCTTCAGTGAGCGCTTGCAGCCCAGAAAGCCAACAGTATCCTGGGTTGCATCAAAAGGAGTGTGACCAGCAGGTTGAAGGAGGTGATCCTGCCCCTTTATTCTGCTCTTCTCTCGTGAGACCTCACTTGGAGTACTGTGTGCAGTTCTGGTGTCCTCAACATAAAAAGGACATGGAACTGTTGGAACAAGTGCAGAGGAAGGCCACAAGGATGATCAGGGGACTGGAGCACCTCCCGTATGAAGATAGGC